ATTATGTGCCATAATTTATTGAACTTGTGTCCAGTTGTTGGGCATTCAAGCGGCTTCCCATTTTTCCATTGGGTGAAGACAGGACTCTGCATCTGAGAAGCCCTGCTTTGGGGCCCCGGGAGAGCCCAAGGGGCCAGTAATCCAGGAAAGGGTGTGTATGGCCAGGACTCCTGGTGCACTTTGACTAATAGAGTCTAACAGGAGCAGGGTTTGAGCTGGGATCCAGCTGTCCCTGCCTGCTCTGGATGCCCTACAAATGGCCCTACAGTCTCCAGGTATCTTTTCATCCCTTTAAGGGGGAATAAAACAGATGGCAGGGACTAGCCACAGCCTCCTAGCCTCCTGGTGAGGCAGAGTATAGGGCAGGGTTGAGTTTGGCTGCCCACCCACCTTGCTCCTGCACACTTCAGCTCATGTACACAGTGACAGTGCAGCGTTTTGGCTGGAGGACTCTGGAGGCCCCAAGCCCAGGGGTCATACACTAAGACCAGCTGAAGAAGAGGTTGAAGGACAGCAGTTGTATGTCTTGTACAGCCACTTTGATCCTTCTTCAAAGAAACTGAAATTTATTGCATTGCATCAAACAGTGCTGTGCATAGGACATCTTTTTGTTTGTTTTTGGTTTTTTGTTTTGGTGGAACTGGGGTTTGAACTCAGGACTTTTATGCTTGCAAAGCAGCACTCTACTGCTTGAGCTACACCTCTAGTCTAAACAAAAAAACAAGAAAGAAAGAAAAAAGAGGCTGAGGGACCACTGGGAGCCATGTCCTAGGCGCCCAGAGGGTGGGCGAATGGGCAGGGGGCAGGACAGGGCTGGGACTGAGGTTGCATGGGGAGAGCTAGAACAGATGTTGTGCCTTTCCCTTGCTTTCCTCAACCTGTCCAAGGGGCAGTGGCAGGGAACAATGACTCCACTGGGCTCTGAATGTGCCGTCTATCCCTGACTCCTGAAAGGAGGCTGGGGAAGGGAGCTGCTCTCTGTGGGGCTCTGTGGGGCTATTTGACCACATGCAGTGTTAATGCTGCAGTCACCCTCGGAGACCATTTCCTCCTCATGCCTTCCTCATGGAAGAGATGGGGAACTGAGGGGCAAATCAAAGGTTAATAGGGGGTGCACCAGGAATGGAACCCCAGTGTTTCCGACTCCCAACCCGTAAGAAAGAAGGGAAGAGGGAGGAGCAGCCCTGCACTTGAGTTCCACCAACAGTGACCTGAACCTGCATGACCAGCTCAGCTACCCCCTGTCCCATCACCACACATGGGGAGACTTCTGCAACTGCTGGGGGACAGCCATCTGGAACTTGCAGCAGGTTAACACACCAACAGGGCCCTTAGGCACCATCTAGGCATCTCCAGTACTGTCTTTGTCCTCTACATAAGGAGTTGAGCCCTCAGGCCACATCCTCTTCTCAGTGTCCCTCTATATTAGACATTCTTGGAGCCCAGCTCAGAGGCAGCCCCTCTCACTCTATTCAGAATTAGAGTCATGGCAGCCTCTTCTACTCCATTGTCCCCAGCAGGCAACAGCCCACCCTTTCCCCCATGGTGCTTCAGCCAGGGGAACCTGGTGCCCTCTGGACAGACCCTTAGTGCCCTGCCATGCATGCCTCCAGTCTTGCAAGGCCCCTCTCCTCCCCTCACTCCCTCTTCATTATTCCTGGAGCCACATTCTGTCTTCAGGTTTCTCAAGATCCACCTTCTAGAATCCAGCCATGTCTCTTGGGGCAGAAGTGAAAATGGCCTTTTCCCAGGTGTGGTCTGTGGATTTGTGTGTGTGTGTGTGTCTGTGGTACTGGGGATTGAACTCAGGACTTCACACGTGCTGGGTAGGCACCCTATTTCCTGAGCCACAGTTCTAGTGCTTTTTGCTCTGGTTATTTAAGAGGGTCTCACTTTTTTGCCGAGGATCTGGACCGGACCCTGGACCATGATCCTATTTGTGTTTCCACAGTAGCTGGTATGACAGGCGTGAGCCACCATGCCTACCTTTTTTCTGTGCAGATGGAATCTTTCGAACTTTTTGCTCAAAGCTTAAAGCCAGCCTGGGGAAAAAAAAAAAGAAGCAAGACTCCATCTCAAAATTACCCAAAACAAAAAGGGCTGGTGGTTTGGCTCAAGTGGTAGAGCTCCTCCCCAACAAGCATAAGGCCCTGAGTTCAAACCCCTGTACTGCCCTGTACTGGATCTTAGCTTCCTGAGTAGCTTGGATTACAGGTGTGAGCCACTCTCATCCCTACCTGAGGAATCTGGGCTTGGCCGTGAATTCTTTTTTTTTTTTTTTTTGCGGTACTGGGGTTGAACTCAGGGTCTTCACCTTGAGTCACTCTACCAGCACCTTTTTTGTGAAGGGTTTTTTCGAGGTAGGGTCTCGCGAACTATTTGCCCCGGGCTGGCTTCGAATTGCAGTCCTCCTGATGTCTGCCTCCTGAATAGCTAGGATTATAGGTATGAGCCACCAGCTCCCAGCTTGGCTGTGGATTCTTGATAGGAAGTGGGACTGGGTATGGGACCAGATAAACTCAGCCCTGGGAGCAGAAAGCTCTCCCCGCTCTTACCCATTTATCATCAGCAGAGTGCCTACTGAGAGGTCAGTACGGCCTTAGTGGGTGAAGACAAGTTCTGAAGCCCAGAAATAAAAACAGCAGCCTCTCCCACTTATCTACAGCATACTGTCACCTCAGCCATCTCTTTGGATCCTCAAAACAACTTGTGGGTGGGCAGGGGTTGTCATCTACTCTTTGCAGAAGAGGAGATGCAGAGGGTTGCATGAAGTCACTCATAGCATCCAGGCCAGGACTGAATTCCAGTCTTCAGACAGAAATCCAGGGGTGCTGGGACTGGAGCCATGGCTCAAGAGGTGGGGCACCTGCCTAGCAAGCATGGAACCTTGAGTTCAAACCATAGTACTGCCAAAAAAGAAAACAAAGAATTCTAGGGCTGCCTTAAGTCATCCTACCACTGCATGAGGGTCCTGGGAAGGGAAAGGGAGAGTTCCCTAAGGGCCATCTGGCTTGCCTCTCTCCTCTCTCCACACCCTTCCTCCTACCACACCCCAAAGTGTGTGGGTCTGTGGTTGACCAGACACTGGAGGGCCACTCTGCCTCCTTCAGCCTGCCTTCTCAGAGGCCCCGAAGGTGCCCCAGTTGGCTGAAGTGGGGAAGACAGCCCTGGAGTGTGTCTCTATATAACTCGACCTTGGGGTGCATCTGTGGAGTGAAGCTGGGATGTTTGGTCCCAGCACCTAGGAAGCCCCTGCCCTTGGATCCTGCAGGAACTTCCCAAGGTCATGATTTACCTTAGAGAGACTAGCCTACCATGCACCTTCCTAAGACCATGCTTTGGGGAGGAGTCCTCCCTGGTAAGAGCTGGCAGCTATGAGCATGGACCATGTGCCAAGCTAAGCACAGCTCTGTTCTACCCCAGAACAAATCCTCTCTCAACCCCAAAACCCACAGGTCAAGTCCTGTGAGTATCTCCCAAGGCCCACTCCTTCTCTCTATCTACCATTGAGTTCTAGTTATTCTCAGCTTACGTAACCCACAGCAAAAACCTCCATATGTTATCACAGTCAGCCCAGCCCTGTCCAATCCATTCTGCTCACAGCCATGGCAAAGATCCCAACCTCTCACTCACTCCTGCTGAGATGCTTGCAGCCCCCTTACACATCAACAGGGCTGCCTGCTCTGGCCCCCAAACTCCACCTCATGCATCTCTCTGTACGCAGCCACACTAGCGTTCTCCCAGGCGCTTGTCCCTACCATCCTTTGTCCACCCAGAGGGCTTTTGCATACATTCTTCCCTCTGCATAAAATGCGTTCTCCATTTATATTAGTCGGTTTTCTGTTACTGTAACAAAATAACCGAGATAATCAATTCAAAAAGAAGAAAGGTTAATTTTGGCTCATTATTTCAGAGGTTTCAGTCCATTATCTATTGGCCCTGTTGCTTTGTACCTGTCACAAGGCAGCACATCATGGTGTGGAGCACATGGTGGAGCAAGCTGCTCATATTACGGTGAACAGGAAGTAAATATGAGAAAGAGGTCATATCCCACATCCCCTTCAAGGCATGCCCCAAAGTCCTAAAACCTCCCACTAGGCCCTATTTCTTAAAGGTCTTCACTACTTTCCAATACACTAACCTGAGGACCAGGCCTTTGGGGGATATTCCAGATCTAAGCCATAACACCATCCCCTATACCTTGTTAGTCTGTGTCGCCCTTCACATCTCAGTTCCAAAGCCCTTCCTGCCTTTCTGTATTCTTTCTTCTTTTTTTTTTTTTTTTTTTTTGTGTGTGGGTCTGGGGTTTGAACTCAGGGCTTCATGCTTGCAAAGCAGACACTACCACTTGTGCTACACCTCCAACCCATTTTGCTCTGGTTATTTGGAGATGGGGGTCTTGAAAACTATTTTCCCAAGCTGACCTCCGACCTCGATCCTCCTGATCTCAGCCTTCCAAGTACTAGGATTACAGGTGTGAGCCACTGGCACTGGGCTTTTCATGCATTTGTGTCAGTTCTGACCATTACAAGCATGCACCTGCTAGACTTCTCCTTCAGGACCATGACATTATTTTACAACTGTCTTTGGCACACAAGTTTAAGTTCTATGAAGACAAAATGGCATTTTCCCTTTCCCCTGCTTCTTCCCTTTCTTATTGCTGCGTTCCCAGCATCTGGTACACTGCCTGGCATATAGCTCGTGATCAGTAAACATGTGTCGAGAGGATAAATGGGTGAGCCAACTCTCTGAGGTGAGCACTAGTGCTATCCCCACTTCACAGACAAAGAAACTGAGGCTCTAAGAAGTAGCCAGCTCAGGATCCCACAGCTGACAAATGGCAAAGCAGCGTTAGAGCCAAGTCAGATTGTGGAATCTGCTTTCTTAACCACTTCCAGTCATGAATCTATGTTTCAGTGTCTGCCCTGCTTTCTCGATAGGCTCTGCGAAGGCTGCTCAACTGGCCCAGGCTCCCCTCCCCAGAGGCTGCCTGCAGAACCATGGAGAGCCTGAGTGAACTGCAGAACCCACTGCTGCCTAGCAGCCCCACCCACCTCCATGGCCCCTATCCCTTCCCAGAGGCCCCGCCCAGCTGGTCCTGCCAGGAGAAGCTCTACTCCTACCTCCTGGGTGGCCCTGGCCCTGCTCACACCCACCAGCTCCTGGACCCAGGGTCCCTGCAGCTGGCAGTGGAGGCCTGGTATCGGCCCAGCTGCCTCCTGGGGAGGGACAAAGTCAAGGAGTCCAGGGCAGGCAGCTGCGAGACCAGCTTCACAGAAGCCAGAGAACCCCAGGCAGGGCTTACAGAACAGTGCACTGAAGCTGGCCAAGCTGAAGAAGATGTTACCATCCAGACTGTGTCATACGGGGTTCAAGAAGAGCTGCAGGTCCAGGAGGACAGCCAGGAGGAGGAAGAGGTGAGCACATCTGTTTTAAATGCAGAGTCCCAGGCTCCTACCAGACACTGAGTTGGTTTTTTTGTTTGGTTGTGTTTTTTGCAGTTCTGAGGTTTGACCTCAGGACCTACACTTGAGCCACTCCACCAGTCCTTTTTGTGATGGTGTTTTCAAGATAGGTCTCAAGCTTTTTGCCCAGGCTGGCTTCAAATCACGATCCTCCTGATCTCTGCCTCCTGATAGCTAGGGATTACAGGCATGAGCC